TGATTTCATTATGGCTGCTTCCGTAAGTGTTGATTGTGGATTCAAGTAAAATGAAGTCTATGACAACTTCAATCTTTTCTCTGTTTATCATTGTATTAATTATTGGTCTAGTTGTGAGGATTTTCGTTTTCTTTCTATTGAGGTGCAATCCATACTGAAGGCTATGGTCTTTGATCTTTTTCGGTAAGTATTTTAAGTCATCTTCGCATTCAGTAAGCAAGGTTGTATGATCTGCATATCGCAGGTTGTTAATGAGTCTTTCTCCAATCCTGATGCCATGTTCTCCTTTATATTATCTACCTTCTTGAATTATTTGCTCAGCATATAGATTGAATAAATATGGTGAAATGATACATCCCTGGCACATACCTTAAACCATTCAGTATCCCTTGTTCTGTTTGTTAGTCTATGTACACGTTCTTTATGAGCACAACTATGTGTTCTGGAATTCCCATTCTTTACAATGTTATCCATTGTTTGTCATGATCTACACAGTTGAAGGCCTTTGCATAGTCAATAAAGCACAAGTAAACATCTTTCTGGTATTGTCTGCTTTCAAGTTGCATCTGTCATCCCTACTTCCATGTCTTCTTCTGAATCTAGCTTGTATTTTGGACAGTTCTATGTTGATGTACTGTTGCAACCGTTTTTTAAATTATCTTCAGCAAAATTTCACTTGCGTGTATTAGTAATGATATTGTTTGATGATTTCTGCATTTTGTAGGGTCACCTCTCATTGGAATAGGCACAAATATGGATCTCTTCAAATTGGTTGGCCTGGTAGTTGTCTTCCAGATGTCTTGGTATTGATGAGTGAGTGCCTCCAGTGTTGCACTGGTTTGTTGAAACATTTCCATTTGTGTTCTGTCAATTCCTGGAGCCTTGTTTTTTGTCAGTGCCTTCAGTGCAGTTGGACTTCTTCCTTCAGTCCCACTGGCTTTTTTTTTTCCCATACATATACAGAGTTTTTCCAAACAAAGCATTTAAAAATATGTCTCTGCAGTCAGTAGATAGATAGCTGCAGACAAGTTATCTCAGTTATATAAAAATATCCAATCAAAATAGTTGCTTCCACAGGGATCTGGTGGGTCAGTTAAAGTTAAGGTAGTGAAGTAAGCTCCGAGAGTTAAGGGGACTGTCTGGGAGACTTTAATGGGTTGATTTGGATAGATTTTCTCAAACAACACAGGAGAAACATGGGAACTTATTATGGAGAAGGTGTAAGAAAATACTACATTGGTGAGAAAAAGGCCAGGAAAGTTACGCTGAGGAACTTTGTTTTCCATCACAATTCACCAGCTCATTCTTCAAGACAGCAGGTACTGTCCTATGAGAAGTTTGTTGGAAAACCTGACCTTATCCACTGCACAGCCCTGATCCTGTTCCTTCAGGCTTCTCTTTGTTCTCAAAACTCAGCATTTAATAGAACCCCATTTGAGTTCCTTGAGGATGCCAAATTTACTGTTTGACATGGGGTAAATTCTAGAGTGTAGAATTCTTTGTAGAAACATTAGAGATGGAAGTACCTCTTTCAGAAGTATATAGACCTAAATGGGGGACATGTCAAGAAACAGTAACTTCACATTTTAATATATCTGTTGGCATGGCACTGTAGGATAAGCACAGGACAGCAAGACCAGTTTGAACCAGAACCAAGCGGTTCAAACTCACCAGCCACTCTTCAGAAACCCTATACTGGGTCGCTATGAATCAGAACCAACTCAATAGCATTTAACTACAATGACGACTTTGTAGCAATACTTATCCTAACATAGGTATGGAGTCCTGGCGTGGCACTGTGGGTTAATGCGCCAGACTGCAAAGTCATTTGAACCACAAGGTTAGCGGTTCAAGCTCACCAGCCACTCTTCAGAAACCCTATACAGGGTTGCTATGGGTTGGAACGGACTCAACAGCACTTCACAACAACAACAATATATACATGTGGTGGTGGTGTGCCGTGGAGTTGGTTCTGACTCATAGCGACCCTGCATAGGGGTTTCTGAGGCTGTAAAACTTTTCGGGAATGATGACGTGGAGAGATGGAATGGCTGGGGACTTTAGATCCAGAGAGGGAGAGGGGCTGTGTGCTGACGACGGAGGGGGTGGGGGCAGGCTTGCAAGGTATACTCTATGGTTGGTTGATGATGCATGGAGGGGATGGTAACCATGGCAATGAAACAATATATATATACGATAGGATGAATGTAAAATTAATGTTCTCCCATGTAAACTATCACATAATTCACAATAAAACATTGAAAAACAAAAACAAAAACCTTACGGGTGCAGAAAGCCTCATCTTTATCCCATGGAACTGCTGGTAGTTTTCAACTGCTGACCAAAAGGTTAGCAGCCCGATTCACAACCACTATCCTACCAGAGCTCCTTTATAGATATGTATACCAGAGCTCTGGTAGCATAGTGGTTACAAATCAGACTGCTAATCTCACAGTCAGCAGTTCGAAACTACTAGCTGTTCAGTGGGAAAAAGATGAGGCTTTCTGCTCCAGCAAAGATTTACAGCCTCAGAAACCCTGTGCAGGGTCACTAGGAGTTGGAACCGACTCCACGGCACGTTAAGAACAATATATAATGGAAATATACATTATAATATAACATTATATATATATATGGAGAGAGCGAGGGATTTTACTTCAAGGAAATGACTCATGCCATTGCAGAGGCTGAAAAGTCCCAAGGCTATGGTCCACCATCAAGCTGGAGGCTTCTCTGGATTCATATAGCTGCAGGGCTTGAGGACCCAGGTAAGTAGGTACAGTGGTAGGCTGCTGGCTCACAGATTGTAGAGGCTAACTAATCACAAGATTGGCAGGCTACTAGTTCAAGAACCATTGGCTGTTGATCAAATGCTACCTCTTGAAATACTTAAACAGTGACCATGTCTTTTTGGTGTAGTGACTCTGTGTATTCCTTCAATTTTCTTTTGATGTTTTCTGTATCATTCAATATTTTACTTAGAGAATCCTTCAATATTTCAAATCAAGGCTTGATTGTTTTTTCCTTCAGTTCTTTCAGCTTGAGAAATGTTGATATTCATTTTGGTTTTTTCTTTTTTTCCTGTGTCTTTAATGACCTTTTGCTGTCTTCCTGTATGATGTTCTTGATGTCAACCCACAACTCTTTGGTTTTCAGTCATTATCTAAGACATCAAATCTGTTCTTGAGATGATCTTTGAATTCAGGTGGGATATGTTCAAGGTCATATTGTTTTTTTCTCATGGACTTGTTTTAATTTTCTTCAGCTTCAGCCCAACTTGCATATGAGCAATTGATGGTCTGTTCCACAGTCTACCCCTATCCTTGTTTTGGTTGATGATATTGAGCTTTTCTACCATCTCACCCGACAGATGTAGTCAATTAGATTTCTGTGTATTTCATCTGGTGAAGTCCTTTTATGTTGTTGGAAAAAGGTATAAGTGAATAAGTCATTGGTTGTACAAACTTTTATCATGTGATCTCTAGTATAGTTTTTATTACCAAGCCCATATTTTCAACTACTGAAACCTCCTGTTTATTTCCAACCTTCATATTTCAGTCACCAGTAATTATCATTGCATCTTGATTGCATGTTTAATCAATTTCAGAATGAAGAAGTTGGTAGAATTCTTTCATTTCATCATCACTGGCTTTAGTGGCTGGTGCATAAATGTGAGTAACTGGTGTTAACTGATCTTCCTTATGGACGTATGGATATTATCCTATTACAGACAGCATTGTACTTCCAAGATAGAGCTTGAAATGTTCTTTTAGATGATGAATGTGATGCTGTTTTTCTTCAATTTTACATTCCCCAGGTGTATTTTGAGCACCTTCCAACCTAAAGGGCTGTTCTTCCAGGACTGTATCTGACAATGTTTTGCTGCTATTAATAATTTTTCATCTTCTGGCAATATATCTGACAACATTCCACTTCTATTCATGAGATTTTTAGTAGCTACACATTAAGCGGTAGTTCACTTTTCCTTCTTCCCAGTCTGTCTTATGAGGAAGCTCATCTGAAACCTGTCCACCATGGGTGACCCTGCTGGTATTTAAAATACCGGTGGCATAGCTTCCAGCATCACAGCAACACACCAGCCACCACAGTATGACAAACTGACAGATGGGTTGACCTTAACATAGCGTAACATTGGCACTGAGTCTATTCAGTTGAGCCCATAAAAGCAGAGCGTTGTCTCTGTCTGGAGCTACAGTGATAATGCTGAGAGAAGGACTTGCAATTGCTGGCTTAGAAGATGAAGGCAGCCAGGTGGCCTTAGAATTGAGAATTACCCAGACCGACAACTGCACAGAAATTGGGACCGTAATTCTACAACTACCTTAAGCAGAATTCTGCTGACAGCCTGAATGAGCTGGCAACAGATTCTCCCCCAAATCCTCCAGCTAGGAGCCCAGGTGAGCTGACACTCTGATTTCAGCCTTGTGGCACCTGGAACAAAGGAACTAGCTGAGCATGCCAGACTCCTGACTTACAGAACAGTGAGATGATAAATCCACGTTGTTTCATGCCACTATACGTGTGGCAACTTGTTACCACAGCTATAGAAAACAAATACCCCGCCTAATATGGATTTAACAACTAACAATGTCATCTAACTGCAATGAGTGAGGAGGAGGAAGGTGATTCTGTTTTCGGGGGAGAGTTCTGTAAGAAAATGAATTCTCATTTTCGCTGCATGACAGGAAGTCAAAAGATGATGTTTAAGCCTTAGAAAACATAACAGTATAGGCATTTATCGAAGTATGACAGTAAACAGTCAAAGAAACTTATAGCTAAAAGTGCCATAAGTGGTTGCTGGAGTTGAAAGTGAGGAAGGGCTAAGGAGTTTTTCATCATAAACCTTGGAGAGAACGGTATGATTTTAAACTGCATGTTCCCGTGTTACTCCCATAAAAATTAAGACTGGCTCCCACCACCCTCAACGTAAGACTTACCCACCTTGCCAGGCTGTGGTAGCGACTCCTGTCTGGTTCCAGGCTGGAGGAGAGCAACAGCAAGCTTCTGGAGTCTGAAAGGAAGCTGCAGGAGGAGCGGCAGCGCGTGGTGGTGCTGGAGCAACAACTGGAGAAGATGCGCCTAGAGCCTAGGCGGAGGCCAGCCTCTCAGAAAACATCCCCCAGGAACAAGACAGGTAGGGTCTTGCTACTGTTGTTGGGCCTCAGTGATGAGAATGTGGGAAGCAGATTCCTCTACCAAGGCGGCCATCTCTCTGCCCCAGCTCCTGGCCTTCCTCTCTCCCTGGTCTCCTAGTCAGAGCCAGAGCTCCAGCCCACCTGCAAGTCCTTAGGCTTCAGTGCCTCTGCTGATTGCCTTCAGCTACCACCACCACTGCCAGCCCTGCCCCGGCTTTCAACCCTCTGTCCTGAGCCAACTCTACTCAAAGTTGGTCGTGGGGCAACACTGATCTGCTTGGGAGGCCCACGCAGCAGGGGCTGGGCCAGGAGAAGAGTCCAGTTCTACTAAGCAGAGCTCTCCACAGGTTCTGGGACCCAGACTCCTGTATCATGTTCTAAGATGACTACTTCCGCTCCTCCCCCAGCTGCAGGAAGGGGTATGGCCCTAAAGATGCTGGTATCAGTTTTGCTCTCATTCCATTGGCCAAATCCTTGTCATGTGGCCACACCCAGCTGCAGAGGGAAGCTAGGAAATGTTGCCTTAATCTAAAAGGTCTATTGCTTCAACACAGCAATTTTCAAGGCACAGTCTCCAGACCAGCACCGTCAGCATCACGTCAGGCTGGGGTGAGCCGGGGTGCTGGAGTCCCAGAATCACAAGTTAACAGGGAGAAAAGAACGTCCAGTGTGGGGGTGCTGGGCCTGTCTCCTGGTGACTGACCACCCTCCAGGCTCTGGGGCTGAGGAACACTGCCTCCCAGCATCCTCAATGGTGTGCCACCTGCTCCCAGCCAAGAAAAACTTGGACCCATGTGTTCCCCACTCAGCCCAGATGTGGTCAGAATGTTTCAGAAAGATGTGTCAGAAATGGGTCACAGAGGGGCTTCCTGCGTACCTTCTCCCACCAACAGGGTCTTCCAAGAACTTCTAGGAGTTCAGGCTGGAAAAGTCTCTGGGGCTCAACCCTACTGACCCAACCAGAAGTGTGGTGTCTACAAGCTTCAGGCCCACTTCCTGCCAGGCTCCCAACCACACAATTGTGTGGGGACTCCAGCAAGAATGCCACTTTGGTCTTGCCTGGACAATAGAGGCAGCTGCCTGAAAGTTTCCATATGGCCCCTGTCACCTACTGGTCAGTGACATGGACATAACACTGCCTGATTTGGGGAGCATAGCAATCCCCAGTCTGTAAAATATGGAAACCAGGATCTGGAATTCCATTCATTCCATTCCAGGGCAGAAGACAGACAATAAGTATCTATGTCAAACCGTAGAAGGTTTGAAAGGCCAGGGGTGGCTAGTGCTTGAGGCAGGAGAGACACAGAGTGCTGAGGAGACAGCTATATGTTTTATGGGGTGGCTGATGAAGATCTCACAGAGGAGTTGACATATGAGCAGAGCTGGGGGCAGAGATACCTGAGGGGAGAACACCCCAGGCTCAGGGAAGAACAAGTGGCAGTTTGGCTGGAGGATGAGCCAGGCTGGAGCAGGCTGAGGGCAGGGAGAAGTCATGGGGGGTTGAAAAGGTGGTCCAGTGACTCAAGGTATTGAGGTCCATGTGTGACCTTACTCACCCTCTCAGGTCTCACACGGCTCTAGAGGCAAAACTAAGGTAAGGAAACTGGGGCTCAGAGGAGTTGGTGGGTTACCTGAGGCCACGCAGCAGGTGAGCTGATGCCAGGTGAGCTCCCACCTCTGAGCACAGAGGTTTCCTGATGCTGTAATTCTGCCTGAGTTTCCCATGAGTTGGACTCTGTCTTCTTTCTCTGAATCTCAGCCTAATGTCATCAGCCACACTCCCTCTGTGGCTCTGTGGTCCCTGACTGCCCAGATTCCCTGCTTCCTCGTGTGGAGCTGCTGGCTGGTGGGGAGAGGGTGTCAGATGCGACCTAGATCTGAGTTTCTCTTGTTGGAATGAATTACCAGAAACTTACAAAGCATAAAGATGGTGACAGTGAGATGAGAAACCACCTTGGCACAAAGCAAGCAGAACAAAGGCTGTTGCTGAGGCCAAAGCCAGAGTCAGAGCCAGAGCAGCCATCAGGAAAGACTTCTGGAGGGAGGAACCCTGGGCTTGCACTTTGAAGGGAGTGGAAATGCCCAGTGAAAGGAGAAGCAGGAGGAGAGATCCACCAGTGGGAACACTGGGAACACACACAGCAAATACATGGAGGGAGAGTAGGGAGAGGGGATGGAGGGGGTCAGCATGGGCTGGCCTCACACAAAGTGGCTGCTATCCCTGCAGGTCAGCTGGCCTCTAACTCCCGGCACAACCCAAACATAAGCCACAGGAAGGACCCGCCCTTCGCCCAAATTTCTGATGTGCCTGTGGAATCTCAGATGGAGGAGCTAACTACCAGGTACTCCCTCGCCTCTTGTCCTGAAAGGGTGAAGTGTCTGGGTGGAGGTGTCCCCTTTATTCAGAAGGTTGGGCAGAGGGATCCAGCAGAACCCTGAAGGCCCTATAGTCATGAACCCAGTTCCCTCAGTTGAGCCTTTTAAGATCAAATGCAGTGATGGGAAAGGAAGGAGAAGAAACCTCTGGGAATCGATTCTCTCCTTAAAGAGCTGCTGGTACCAGGCCCAGGGATGCAGGTAAGCTCCCCAACTAAGGGCCTCTGAGGGAGACACCCTGAGCCTGAGGAACAGCCATGCTGCAAGCCTCAATCCCAGGGGCCTGCAAACACACACACAAACACACACACACATACACAATACACACCACACACAATACACACCACACACACACCACATACACACCACACCACACACATACACACACAATACACACCACACACACATGCACACACAATACACACCACACACACACAACACACACAACACACAACACACACACATACACACACAATACACACCACACACACACACACACCACACACATGCTGCTCAGGCCATGCTGAGCCCTGTCTCTGTGTGGTCCAGGCTGGCCATCCAGGTGGAGGAGAATGAAATGCTGAAGGCTGCCCTGGGCAGTGCCTTGCGAGGCAAAGAGGAGGACTTCCGTATGTACCACGAGACCCTGGACCAGGTGAAAGGGGTCTTCTTGCAGGCCCTGCGGCAGCAGAAGGCAGACAAGCACTAGAAGAATGGCCGGTGTCAACCTAACCAGACAGGGCAGCCTCAGGCCTGAGAGAATGAGATTCTGAGGATCCCAGCCGTTCCAGGAAGCCAGTCATGGCAGCCAGCTCAGCCCCTGCTTGTGGAAGAGGCTCCCCACGGATGTCCACTGCTGAGATCACAGGCCAAGAGGGCAAAGGAGAAGGCCTAGGGGAGCCTAAAGAGGGCATTCTGGGCAGACTTGGCTTCAGAGAGGCCCAGCAGCCAGCTCAGCATCAGCAAGAGCTCAGGGACAACCAGGATGGATGCAGACACTTCAGCACACGCCCGTCACCTTTGTCCTAGAGGGGGTCCCAGCACCCTCACACACACAGCTTCTCACACAGAAGAGCCTACCCTGCCCCGTACCAGGGCGTGAGGGCCCGTGCATCCCTCACACATGCCCTAGAGGTACCACCTCCTCACGTGCTCAGTCACGCTGTCAGCCCACTTCTTAGGCTTCTGCCGCAGGTGCAGACCCTTGGACTTGTAATAATAATGATTACTTTCATTATTATGTAACATATAATTTTCATTCTTATATAATTGCATAATCATTATATAACATAGAATCATTGCAGCTCCCAGTGAGTGAGCATTTATCGTGGAACGCTGTCCTCCCAACAACCCAGGGTGTTGTCGCCCTATTTTAAAAGTGAAGACACAAGCTCACAGAAGCAGCAGATCTAATATTTAACCTGGGCCTGCCTGGCTCCCAAACCAGCTGACCCAGGGCAGGTGAGCCCACCTATACCTGGACAGCTCTGCCCCTGCAGCTACTCCAAGAGACACCGCCCCCTGCCTCCAGAAGGGTGCAGCTAGTGGGGACGGGGACTGGGACTGGGCCGGAGCTGCAGGCAGGCAGGGTGGAGGGCTTTGTGCACCTCCCTTATCCTGATATAGGTGCAAGCTAGGACTGCTGCTACAGGGGTGCCAGGAGCCCCCAGGCCTTTCTGTGCCTATCACAGTGTCACCTCCAGGCATCTTTAGTTGCAGCCATGGATGGAGGTGGCTCCAAAGAGGGTTATCCATAGCCACATACCTGACCCCAAACACCATGGCCACAAGCGTGCACACACACACTCTTCAGAAGCATGAAACTCTGTGTATATATGTGCCACAGACACCTAGCTGACTGGCACACCAAGCACCGCCCACAGCATGCTAGCCCACCTGCAAACATGCCCACACACACGTGAGCAGCATCTATATGGATGCAGACACATAGCTAAATATCTTCATAACAGACCTATGAGGGAAAAGTCTATCATTGTCCCCATTTCACAGATGAGGACATGGAGGCACAGAAAGGTTAAAAAAGACTGGTCTGAGGTCACACAGCTGGTGAGTAGGGAGAGATCTGCTCAGGGCCCCAATGTGAAGATGCAGTCTCTTGTATAGAGGCTCACACAAATGTGAGTGCACCCAGGGACACACTTGCATGCACATACTGTGGAGACACCGCCTCCCCGGGGAGAGGGCACGTGGCATTTCTGGGGGGGAAACTGTCAGCAGAAGCAGCCCCATGTGCTGTCTGCCCTGCACAGAGCTTTCCTTGGGGATGGGACTGTGAAGGGACCTGGCTGGTGCTGGTCTCATATTCTTATCCCCCACTCAGGGAGTCCTTAGCCCCACGTTGGGTGACACGGGTCTGGTGATCACACTGCAAAGTGCAGTCACGGCCACCAGGAAAAGTGGCAATTCTGATGGGGATTGTGGGGAGAATTTGTCTCCCCCTTTTCAAAAAGGGCGGTGGTCAGGCAGAACAAGAGACAAGGGAGAGGGATAATGACATGAGGAAGACGGCCTGTGTTGGGAGCGGACAGTGTGTGACAGCAAAGAGTGGGCCAGATGTGGAGGGTCCAGATGTCAGGTGAGGAGTCGGATAAGATGTTATCCTCTGGGCTTCAATGGAGTCACTGGGAGTAGAAAGCAGGCATAGGACTAGCCATCCTTCTGGGAGGATAGAGAGAGTTATAAAACCTACATCTTCACACCAGTCTCTGTGCCATGCAGGGATCCAAGGTGAATCTGTTTGCTTCCTTCCTTCAGGAAGCTCTTGGTCTGCCCAGTCTAAGGTGTGGGAACAGGGCCATGAAGGGGCAGAAGAGGTGGTGGGAGGACGCAGTGTGGGGCTGCTGCAGTACCAGAGCCTCCCTCAGCTCCCAGACTCACTGCCCAGATCAGTGCCATCTACTTGTCACATCTCCCTGAAATAGAGAGTGAGGAGAAGGACCCCAGAGAGCCAGGGAGAAGGGTTTTTAGGGAAAGCAGTTTTGTCAGATGGGCCAAGTGGGGCGTAGGGCAGCCTAGTCTGTCCAGGGAAGAAGTGCCCATGGTCCTTCCTGGACAGTACCACCTGCCCTGGGCCCTGAAGTGACCTCTCCATTCCTCAATCAGGTAGGCAGCAGGCTGGCTGGACACATTTTGCAGAGAAAAAAACTGAGGTCCCTGCCCAGAGTCACCAGGTGTGTGTGTGTGTGTGGAGGGACGAGGCACAGGGTCCCTCAGATGACGACTTCATGGCTGCAGCCCAGGCAGGTGCTACAGACCCAGGAACTCAGACTCCAGCACTGATGGGGAACCAGGCTGAGCCCAAGCACATTCAGTTACTACTGGGCCCCTCCTTTCCAGGATCCCAGGGCAGGGCAGTCTGTAGCTGAGGTACTAACTCTGGGTCCTCCCAGCCTCATGGTGTGAAGGACCTCTTCTTTCCCATCCCAGAGGTGCTACCTCCACATACACAAGCTTCTAAGTCCCTGATCCCTACACACACACACAACACACACAACACACATATACCAGACATCACACAGCACAACACATACAAGGAGGCTTCAAAAAGCCCATGGAAAAATTCCATTATCTTTCAATTTCATTTTTCCATGAATTTTTTGAAACCTACTCGTATATATAGAACACCTCTATGTACACATATTTATTGTTAAGTGCCGTCAAGTGGGTTCTAACTCATAGACCCTTCATAGGGTTTCCAAGGCTGTTAATCTTTGTGGGAGTAGAAAGCCTCATCTTTCTTTCATGGAGTGGCTAATTGCCTTGAACCACTGACCTTTTGGTTCACAAATCAAATACCTACAGAACCACTGTGCTCCCACATACACATATACATGTCATAAGCAACACACAACACAAAGCAAATAACACACAAAATACAACTGTATATTCTTGTATACACACACAGAAACCATTTTCCGCACCTTTTTACCTTGCGCAACAAAAATCACTGAGAGGTGGACTTCTGGCACGGTGGCAGACTAGGCAAATGCACTACAATAAAGATACAAGAGACCAAATGAAACAGACACAGATGAAAATCCTGGAACCCTGAACTTCAGAGGAAAGGTTTAGAGAAGTGGATTGAGTGCTTGCTGGGACAGTGAGAGAGGGAGGCTGACTTGTGAACGCAGCGATATCATCTTGTGAGCAGCTTTGGCAACAAAGGAAGGTCTGGCAGAGCAGATTTACACAGGCAATAAGAAAGGTATGATTCCTTCTTTTCCCCCACACTCCCCTGGTGACCAGACGTGTGGCCAGCTCCCACCCTCCTCCACAGATAATGAGAGTCCAAGAACACATCAACACAAAATCAGCAATGAAATACAAGTATGGCAACCTCACAATGCCCCAGTGACAAAAATTTTAGCTCACACAAAGAAACAAAGAGAGAATGACTTAAACAAATTACCAAGATGCAGAGCATGAAAACATTCTAAGGAAGAAAACGTAATGGAACTAACTGAAAAATAATTCAAAAGAATGATATTTAGGTGCCTTGTAAGGATTGACAGAAAGATCAAAGAAAACACAGAAAAAAAAGGTAAGAAGAAATCGAGAAAACACTACAAGGTCAAGCAGACAAAATAAATGCAAATGTTGAAACAATACAGACCCTGCAATTAGAAATCCAGAAAATTAAGGCTAAGATTTCAGAAAAGGACAATACATTGAAAGGACAAAGGACAGAGGAATTGATGCGAAGCTTGATGATAAACCTCTCAATACTAGAATATTAGAAGAATAATCAGAAAAAATAATGAAAAAAATCTGAAGAAAGCCTAAGAGTTATGTGGGACACCATGAAGAGGAACAAATTACAGGTGACTGCAATCCCAGAACAGAAAGAGAAAATAAAAAGCACAGAAAAAATTGTTAAAGAGTTGTTGAAAGAAAACTTCCCTAACATCATGAAAGATGAGAAGATAAGCATACAGGAAGCTGAACAGGATAGATCCCAAAAGAAAATCACCAAGACAGATAATCAAACTTCTCAAAACCAAGACAAGGAAAAAATCCTAAAAGCAGCTTGGGAAAAATGAAAGTTACCTATAAAGGAGAACCAATAAGACTAAGCTCTGATTTCTCAGCAGCAGCCATTCAGGCAAGAAGGCAATGGGATGACAAACACAAAGTTCTGAAAGAATAAATTACCAACCAAGAATCATATACTCAGCAAAACTGTCCCTCATAGGATGAGCAGACCAGCCTGGAG